TAGAAGAAAGAAAAGAGAACTAGAAGAAAGAAAAGAGAGAAAGTTTAGAAAATCATCAAGAACACTTCTAGGAATCGATTTGATCAGGTAAGAGTGTAAAATATTGTTATCTTATCATTGTGTATGATTATGTATGATTTTGTTTGGATTGTTTTGGTTATTTTTTCACATATTTCCATTTTAGATCGAATTGGTAAAATCGATAGAAACCGATGTTTTCACGGTTAGAATTTGAAATAAATTGCGTAGTTTAGTCGAGGAATGTTAAGCCGTGACTATTGAAACTTGTTTGATTGAATTCTGGTGATTTCGTAACTTTTGACATTTTTGGATAATTGAGGGTTTGAGATTTGAGTGGAAATCGTACGTCGTAGAAATCGTGTTTAATGATTCTAATTCACTGCTATATGTTAGGTGAGTATGAGTATGTGTTTGTTTCGAAGGAAAGGATTGAATCGGTTGGATTTTCGGATTTTCAGGCAAAAATGCAAAATCCCGTAGCAGTTTTTAGGCAAAATTTTGGTTTTTCGGAAAACTTCGAAAATTCATATCTTTTGATCCGTAAGTCGGTTTTAGTCCCCGTTCGAAGTGTTGGAAAGCTAAAGAGATGTTCTTTCTAGGAAAAATGGTTTTGATGTCAGTGTATGATCCAATTATATCAGAAAATTCGAAACGTGTCATTTTGTCAACTTTTACCGTCGTGAACGGGTGCGTTTGATGTGTTATCATACTGTATGCTTTCGATATATAACGTGTAGCTTCTGTGCTGTTATATGATATGTTATGGGTAGCCGTATGGTGTGAATCCTAGATTGTGAAATATATTGTGAATGTATATAGATTGTATGTGATAGAATGAGATGAATGCATGAATATATTGTGAATATGTATGCATTTCAAGAGTGTCTTGAGTCATTTTGTATGTGAAGCATAATGATGTACATTCTTGTGTTGTGTGATTCTAATGAGAATCCGTTGTAACGTCGTGTGCCTATGTGAGGTGTGAGCGATGATTACAAACGATTGTGTGCCTAGGTGAGGTGTGAGCAATCCACAAACATTGTGTGCCTATGTGAGGTGTGAGCAATGGGTGAACATCGTAGGCCCGACGAGAGTTACATTGGTAGCGAGCGATGGTTCTAATAAGTTCCTGAGTGAACTTGAGATGATTGAGTCGGTACCACATTGCATTTGCATAGAGTCGTGAGTCGGTCTCTATGATTTGCATTTATCATCCTCATAATTGTGCATTGGTGAATAAACATAAATGTGTATGTTTATGTTGAATGATAAGAATTGTGAAAGTACGCATTATGAATATGTTTGGTTATATATATATATATATATATATATATATATATATATATATATATATATATATATTGTGATGTATATCAGTGAGTTTTGATGAATTGTGGTGAGAATGTAGAATATATGTATTTTTATGCTAAGATATATAATTAAATTCATTGTTATTATGATAATATTTCTCACCCTTCTACTGTTTTATGATGCTCTATGAGGCATTGCATAGTAGGTATGCTGATGGTCTTTTTGTGAAGCGTGTCTTCATTCTTTTGGTCAGTCGGCTCTGATATGTAGCACCGGGTAGCTAGGATGTTAATGATTCTTTTGTGATACATTTGTATATGTATCTTGTTGATGAATGTTTATGTAAACATGACTTATGTTGTTGAATCATACTGGATGATATATATATATATATATATATATATATATATATATATATATATATATATATATATATATATATATATATATATATATATATATATATATATATATATATATATATATATATATATATATATATATATATATATATATATATATATATATATATATATATATATATATATATATATATATATATATATATATATGTTTGACGTTATCAATGTTTAGATTTTTCGCTTTTATTCTAAATTTTGAGATGTGAGTGTAAGGACTAAGTTCCTCTGTTGCAAAGTTACTCCAGTGTTGCATATTTTTTGTTGAGCAGATGTTGTATGTTTTAATTTCAAGCGTAATGTGATGCGCCTCTTTTATACTATGTTTATAATTATAATCTGACGAAATTTTTAATATATGACTAAATGATTATGTGATTATTTGGGGTATAAAAAATGAGAATTGACGCCTCATATTAAAATTTGAAATGAGGCGCCAATTAGTGGACACTAATACTTTGATATTTTTTTTTCTAAAAGTGAAATAATTTGAAATGTGGATTATTTAATTTTTTTTTATAAAAAACTGGATTATTTAAATAAAAAGTTCCTTTAAATCTAATTACATATTTTTTTTTTCCAAATTTCAGCCGTGGATTTAAACTAATCCTTATCTTAAAGGCTACCTTACAAATAATAGATATTTTATTTGAAATTTGAAAAAATTTATTTAAGACACTTGCCAACGATATCTTTTTGTTTAATCTGATCTAATATTTGCACAGAAATCGAGATCACACATAACGACACGTCATCCGTCCGATACGAAAGCCCAGATATTTTCCTTAGCTGTCACCACCATTAACATGATTATTACGCGGTTGCTTTCAGTTTCTATTTTCATTTCCGTATAAAAAACACAATCCTCCATTTGCGAACCCTCTCGAATTTCACTTCACCACCATTTTCTCTGAACCATCTATAAATTCCTCTCCAATTTGCCCTCACTTCAACGATTCACCGAAGATCGGAGCTCCAAAATTCGAGCATCAATCAATCGCCGATTCAGCTCCGTCAGAGTCGAAAGTTCGTTGTTGTTCTGTCGTAATTCAATTGCCGTTTATTCAATTTTTTTGCGCTTTCTGGTTTATTTATCTCTCTCGATTTGCCTTCTGATATTGATTATGTGCGATTGATTGTTACTATTACAATAACTGTTTTTATTTATGTGACTCAGCTTCTTTCGATTCGGTTCTCTTGTTAGGTAACTTATAGCTGTGGTTTTCTTTTTTTTTATTGATTATTATTTAGATTAATGGTGTTTTTGATGAGGCTTGATTGAAGTTTGCATATTCTGATTTGTTGTGGTTTTTATTTGTTTGATTCTTGTGTTTGTGATTTTTTGGTTGATAACACAATTCATTGGTTTAGAGGCAATGAATTTGTGTTTTTACTAGTGATCCATGGTATTGTTGATTAGGTTGTTGTAAGCCTTGAAAATAAGAACTTAGGTTAAGCTAGCATTTGATTATGTTGAGATAATTTAAGGAGAAATAATGTTAACTGGCAGTTTTATGTAATGCTTGAAAGATATAGGACTTTTGGTTCAACTGGTCCTGAGTTGAATCATATAGAATTCTAGGTTTTAAATTGCGGTCGGGATGGGGTTTCCTATGTTGCAGTTAATTGGGATAAAGAGACAAATTAGACCTTATTGTATCGCAGTAGCAGATGGTTTTTGCAAAATTTATGTTGATCTATGACTCATTAGTTAATACCTTGGTCGGTATAGAAACCGGGACTGGTCTCTAGTGGCTGATTATCACGAAATGGTTTATGTTTTGAAGTAATTACATATTTGTACTCAATTGTTCCAGTTACAAAGATAAATGACCTTAGGAAAATAATCTTGATTCTTACGTGAGAGCCGAGGACGATGAATGATTATCACGAAATGGTTTGTGTTTTGAAGTAATTACATATTTGTACTCAACTGTTCCAGTTACAAAGATAACTGGCCTTAGGAAAATACTCTTGATTCATCTGTGAGAGCCGAGGGAGATGATTGATTATATCAGTTTAGGTAGAAAAGTCTTTCACAGGGCATTCGAAGTGGAACTATCCAGTTATATAATGCTTACCCAGCAAAGATGAGTCTGTAACTCTCGGGGAGAAGAAAGACCAAACAAGTACCAGCAATTTTGTTTCATATTTTGATCAATGTCCAAACGCAGGAAGCCGAAACTTTCCTTCTTGCTTTGTCCGTCTGTATCTCTGCAGTTGCATCAAACAGAATCTCAACAACATAGACATCTATGTCTTTTGTCTATGCTCTCTTATTTCGTCTAGCTTGAACTGTAAGAGTTTGGTGCCAATTTTGATGTTGTTGGAGTTTTGTATGGGTGGGATATCCTTTTTGCATAATTCATATAAACTAACCATTTTGTTTCTTCGTCGGACATCAAGAAGAATGGCTTTGATACTAGTCTGGCTTGCATACAATCACTCTCTTGTATTAGCGCCGGTTTTTGCTTTTTGCCTCCAACCGTCTTTTTGTCTACGTTGGAAAACAACCCTGCTGCAAACCTTCTATGAGATAAGGATATTTTTAACATAAGTATTGTGAATGTTCAATTTGTTAGTGAATATAGTTCACTTTCAAGTGACTTAGTTATTAATAAGAAAAGTGTTATAAGGGTCCCTAAGGAGTTTATCATGGTGCACATGATATGGAGGAATTATATATTTGGTTTTGGTAAGTTTCAGTTTCAGAGGAATCAATGTTGAACTGCATTTTAAGGTAGGTCCGCCCTTTGTTGATAACAAAATCAACACATACTATGTTTTATTATTTTAGATGCATTTGATTGAGTGATTTATTGCTTTCAAAATAGGTCGAAGTTTCTATTGGTTGGCTCCACTATAGTTGGATTTGTTTCTGTGAGTTCTTCAAGGAATCAAGTGATCGTTCAATGCTAATTGTATTTACTTCTGGAGGCTGTGAAGAACCCTAGTGCTACCTAGTAATATGTGGAATTCTTGTGTATACGCTTTTTTGATGTGTTTCCTCTCTTGGAGTAGTGGTGATGGGAGCTTCATAATACGATTTTGTATTGTGATTACAATTGGTCTGCAGAAGTATACAAGAAATCAACAATGCATTTGGTGTTTACCTGGCTTGATGGGGTGACTAAATATGCCTTTAGAAGTTTTAGGATTATTTCTAAATCTGTCCCTACATGCAGGTCATTAAGCTTACTGCCTACTTCTAGATATAGTTGATACTCTTATTTGAGGAGAGCTTGTATCATGGGTGAGGTGGCAGTGTTGCACTCTGAGCCTCTGCACTTTGAATGCAATAACACCAAACATATGACAGACGAAGATGTCTATCCTCCAAATTCAAATTCGGAACCCTTGCCCGGAGAAGAATCAAATCAATCTATAAACACAAATGATTTGCAAGATAAAGGATATATGGAACATGGGTAATTTCTTGTATGCATGCTCATTTCTGCTTTTCAGATAGTTGCATTTCTTGCTCTTTTTTTTTTTTTAATATAAAATTAGGCTTCACTTGCAGATGCCAACACTATCGGAGAAGATGTCGAATCAGGGCCCCCTGTTGCAATGAGATTTTTGATTGCCGCCATTGTCACAATGAGGCAAAAGTGAGTAAATGTTAATATTTTTTTGTTATAATAATATCAATAATATGTTTCATATATTTAGTGTACGGTTGTTGCTTAAATGATATGTTTCCATCTTATCTCATATTTATAGCCAATCCTTTCCCTAAATGTCACTGGCATTCTTTGGTTTCATGTGGCATAGACAGTATGGACGTGATCACTGGTGTTGTCAATAGCGGTTTGTTCAAATTCCACTATACTACACTGCTACAGTGCCACTATTTGTTAATATTTTGAACTAAAAAGTGTATCGCGGAAAAATAAGGAAGTGTACAAATTCCGCCACTATTTAACAACACTGATGATCACTGACCACCATATTAGTTATAGTCTAATTTTAATTGTAGTTGCCTTCTATATGTCTCAGCCTTATTAGTATGGCAGTCCTCCGTTTTTCATCGTGATTTGATCTGTCACTTTCAACTTGAGTTTTTTGCTTCAGAAGTATGTATTCTGCCTTACTTCTGTTTAATGACTCAACTCTTAAACGGGCCTCAGGGGTCTATGCAAATTAGTTTCATCACTTATGTTTTATGACTTCAGAATCTACCATGACAATCAATTCTTGGGTGGCCTTATTCTTTAATTTTCTAGGGAGCTTACTTTTATTATCATGCTTTTTTTACAGAATGATATCAACATAGATTATAAGCATAGACACGATATGCCTCGACACCAAGTCAAACAGGTATTCTTATTTATTAGACGTCCTCAATTTAGATATCCACAATTTCTTACATCTTTTCATGTTATTTCATGGCCAAAGGTGGTCCTTAATGCTAACAAAACAATTTTAACATATTCAGGTGATATGTTCACTTTGTGGCACTGAACAAGAGGTGAGTTAGAATCTCTTTTATATTTTAAATATTTTATTAGTGAAATAGTGATATAGAATATGTAAAGGAGGATGTAAATATTAGTTTGAGATAAGCTGAATCTTTATCATATATAAAGGAGGATGTAAATATTAGTTTGAGATAAGCTGAATCTTCATCATCTATAATTAAGAAAGAAGATCTCTCTGCATATGAGATTATATACATATATCCACATGCATAACAAAATTAAAAGATGGAAACATTGTATTCTGCACATGCATAAAATACATGTTTTCTTCCGGATGTTTTGTGGAAACAGTTGTTTTGTGAATGTTGGTTAAGACTTAAGATATTGACTAGAGCACCAGACTATATGCTGCTTAAAACTGTTTGACAACTCCAACATTTGTTTGTTCAATAAATCAATGAATAATTGTTTATGATATCAGAATTTATCATATACAATCTGCTTTGAACGTTGGAAGCTAAGTTATTTTCTTATGCTTATTTTACTACTTTCAGGTTCAACAAAACTGTACTAATTGTGGTGTTTGCATGGGCAAGTACTTCTGTCAGACATGCAAGCTCTTTGACGATGATGTGAGTATTAATCCTAGGAATGCAGTTCTTCTTTCTGTTGATGTTGTGCATATGCTTGTTATTTTGTATTTTAAACGATTGCATGTAAGCATAGACCAGGATCCATAAATATAATTTTTAATTAGTATACTATCTTATTTCTTTTATATGATGCAGATATCTAAGCAGCAGTACCATTGTAATGGCTGTGGAATTTGCAGGTATGAATTTTTTGTCTTATAGTGCACTGTACTTTTTCCTTTTTTTTGTCTTGGCTGTGTCAAAACTCAAGCTGATTGATTTTGATATTTTGTTGCACAGAACTGGTGGACATGAGAATTTCTTCCATTGTAATAAGTGTGGTAAGTGATATCACATTTTACCCTTTGCATTTTGCATTTTGCTTACTACACTAAGTAACAGTGCCAAAATTAAAAAATGTACTACTGCTTGTTTGCATAGGTTGTTGCTACTCAACTCTGCTGAAAAACAGTCACCCCTGTGTGGAAGGAGCAATGCATCATGATTGTCCTGTTTGTTTTGAGGTAATGTTTACTACTCTCCCCGTCTCATAAAAAATGTCTTATTTGAGCAATGCACGGTTCTTAAGAAAATGATTAGATGTGTTGGTTTTGATGATAAAACTAATATTATTTACTAGAATACCCCTATTAATTGTAGTTAAAACAGTGGTTGAAGAAAGTGAAAGTTAATAAGTAGGGGTAGGGTAGTGGAAATGAGACACTGTTTATGAGACGGATGGAGTACTTTCATGGTTTAGAACTAGTTCAAACTTATAGTTATGAATTTTTTAACTTTCTAAGTGAAGATTAATATATCAATGAAGAATTGCAATTTAAATTGGATCTCAAATATCATTATAACTGCTTTTAATATTGCTTGAGGCTGATCCATGTATGCAAAAATTGATGACTGCAGTATTTGTTTGATTCAAGAAATGATGTAATTGTTATGCCGTGCGGACATACAATCCATAAAAGCTGTCTGAATGAAATGAGAGAACATTACCAGTAAGTACCCGCAGAGCTCATAGTCTCCTTACTTCTCCATATGTCTCTCAATATCGCCCTTATTCTTGTATTTGTTTGTGTATAATATTAGGTATGCATGCCCTCTCTGTTCAAAGTCAGTCTGTGATATGTCAAAGGTATGGGAGAAATTGGACATGGAGATTGCTGCTACGCCAATGCCGGAATCATATCAGAATAAAATGGTCAGTTTTCATTGTTTCCCTATCTGTTGAGTAGTATTTATACTGTGTGTGGTTTGTTTAATTGGCGAGGCCTAATGGCATTACCATTAACATGCAGGTTTGGATTCTGTGCAATGACTGCGGAAAAACTTCTCATGTTAAGTTTCATTTTGTGGCTCAAAAATGCCTCAACTGCAAGTCCTACAACACGCGACAGACGAGAGGCTGAGCAAGTTTCATTCAACTTAGCATTGGTTCATTTATAATGAAATGAAAGTTTCTATTTCATTACAATTGATTTATTTTGAAGGAAGTGGCTCTCAATGCTGGCATCTCTTGGCTACAAAGGATGATATACACTGGTGGGAATTTCAACAATGGAATAATGATTCTTCATTCTGATTTTGTGTCGGGGAGTAACGAGTTGGTTCAGTTGTAGTGATTTGTTGTTCCATGAGTTTGGAGCGAGCAGTTTATTGACGTGTAATGTTTTTAATTATTTTAACTATGAGATATCTTTCTTAAATAAAATTAAATAAAATGAGGTGCTTGCGGGGGCATTCCTTTTATTTTTTTCTTCGCATATTTATATTTATCTATACTTCTATCTATTTATTTTCTATACGATTATACAAGGACTCTTATTTCTTCACGTATGGACTATTTGAGCCATATGAAAATTTTCTCAACAAATTTTTTAAAGATAAATTTAATATTTTAAATCTTACAATCATTAATTCATTTTATTTTTCTCATTTTCTCTCCACCAACCACCACACATTAACTAATTTTATTTTCACTCATCTACTTTTTATTTATTTATTTATTATTATTAACTTTTATGAAGCATATAAATATTTTATTCTTCAAATGCACAAATACCTGAGCGAACTCGATTAAAAATGTGAGCATCTCTTTTTATATTAACAATACTTAATACTTGATGACCATGTATGTGCTATTGTTAGATAAAAAAACTATAAATTCATAAACTACTTTTAGTACTTAATTATAAAATTTTCATATGCAGAAACACAAATATCTAAATGAGGTATATAAAATTTATTTATTTTACCTTTTATTATTTAGGATTTTTTATATTCTAATTTTATAATTCTACCTCTCTTCCATTACATTTAATTTTTAATAGATGTAAGTGGTTCATTATTATTATTATTATTATTATATGCAATTTTGTAATCACAAGTTCAGATGTATAGGTATGAATTCTTTCTTGAATAATGTATATTAAAGTGTCTAAGTATTTTGTCTATGTATGTATGTTGCAGCGTGAAAAATACCTGAGTGCGTCGCAAGCTCGATGATATAATAGAATCGCCACCAAATTTTATTTATTTCAAAAAAAGGGAAAATATCGATAAAACGTAAGGGAAAGAGAAACGAGTAAAAGAGTCAGTTATGCGAGGGAGAGATATTAACATCCCTCACATCCGTCGTACTCGACAGAAACTATTTTGTTGGTTTTGCATAAATGGGTGTTATTATTTGAAGGTTACTTAGGAAAGGAGAACTTTTTAAAAAAAAAATTAATGTGCTCGCGGGGATTAGGGCCCTCGTGCCTACTTATCCTCATAGTGTAATGAGGAAATCAAAGTTCTATAGTTCGGAGTAGAAAATAAGTGTGTGTTGGTTATTTTTAGGGAACAATTATAATCGTATCCTAGAAGTGTGTATACGTTAGCTAATTTGATTTTTGATCGGATGCTCTGAGCTTTTAGTCTGACTGCTAAGGAACGAATTATAAAAGTTCTTTTTAGAAAAGAAAGAATTGTTTTGCAAAGAGGTTTTAACTATTAAAAGAAAAAGAAAGAGTTGATTGAATTAACGAAAAGCTTGCTTGAATTGAAAGTGTTGTAAAATGCAGGGTATTGCGAAAGTATTGTCTGGACCAGGAATATGTTGTTTGAATCCATAGGGTAAGGTATCTGAACTAAAGAGGTGTGACTTTAACCATTAGATGGTATGGCCAATGTAAAATTGTAGGATTTTATTTAGATTCAGAGATCAAGACCTACAAACAAGTTTTCCCTAAGCACAAAGCTTATACGGAAGAAATGAGGTTGCCTAAACACATAGCTTATAGGGCATGAAAGATTTGCCTGAGCACGGAGCTAATAGGACATTCATGAGTAGCCAGAGCATAGAGCTCTATATGGAAAAATAGAAGAAAAAGAATTGCCTGAGGATAGAGCTCATAAGAAAATGCATGAAGGTTTCCAGAGCACGAAGCTCTTATGGCTAAATAAAAGAAAAAGGGTTTGCTTGAGCACGGGGCTCATAGGAAAATACCTGAGAGAGATTGGTTCATAGAATGGTATTTGACCATGAAGTGCTTAGTCCAAAGAAATATGGATGCCACAGAAGGTTGTGCTTGGTCCAAAGAGAGAAGTATCGTTGGTGGAGATTGTTGTAATGTTGATGAAGTGTTGTTTGTGCATCTGTGGGAAAGAATATTTTTTAATTATTTGATTCGAATTGTACTAAAGTCTATGAGTGAAGGTGATTACTTTGAACAACTGGATCATTCGTCTCGTGTCCAAAGATATTCAGAATGAGGATACAAATTCTCCATCTCATTCATTCTTCACAACTTATGGCTCATGGTGCATAATTCACATTGTAATTGACAAGTGTTAAAGTCTTTTTGTTGTTTGTGCTTGAACAATGCTCTAGTCTTGTATGATGTCTTGAGCTTGTGTTGAGTTGTCCAATGTAGTGTCAGTATAGAAGGTCATTCCTATTAAATGATCAAGAGGCTCTTGATCACTTGACTGGATAAGGGAATTAAATAAATGAATGGACTATTCGATTAAAGAGAACTTTAATCAATTAGTCAATCAAGGACTAAATTAGAATTTGAGCAAGCACAAGAATTTTGTGGATTAACTTCAAAAAGCAATCAAAGATGTTAAGAAAATCTAATTCTAACATTAACTAATCTAAAACTATGAACATGGCATCAAAACTAATTAATAAAATTTTTAATCCAAACTCTAAGGTGAACATGTGTATTAGTTTGAAAATAAATGCTAAAACTAAGTCAACTTTAAATTATAATGAAAAACCTAAATTACATTTTTATTTGAGAATTTCTAATTAAAACATGAATTAAGGGATTAAATTAACAAAAATTTAATTAAGCTATACATTTTAATATTTCAAAGTATTTTTTCATGTAAAAGACAAAAAAAAAAGAAGCAAAATCCTCCTAAAAACTATAAAAATAATAAATGATCAATTAAAAAAACAAGAAGCATGGGGTGTAATGAGGCTGGCAGGGTGTGGAAAGCATATGGGCCTAGTCCCAAGTTATGTTTGTAGCAATGGCTAATAAATGAGGAATTGATTGGGAAAATTTCTTAATGCATCTCATGTGTTTCTTAGTCATCGTGTGTATTTTTACTTATTTCTCCTCCGGTTTCGAAGATATATCTTCGAACGTATCCTTTTTACACTCAAAGAAGGCCATTCTGGATGACGCCCCGTATATTGGGTTTGATGTTCTGGAGGTGCATCTTCGAAACCATGTCGTAGTTATATTTCTAGGAAAAAAAACCAGGCACAGATTCAACACAAAATGAACATTTCAAACATCAAATAAGCATTATAATGATGATTTCAACAGAAAATTAAATACTACATTTCAATTTCCTGGTGGACGCTAACACATCTCCAGGATATCTTCGACCGGTCTTTGTACTGTCGCTTCCAACTTGAGCAGAACTTTCTCTTCAAAATAGAAATACGATCGCCACATGGACATAACATTCGCTCGAGTCTTGAGCTCAAATTTGCTGAACACAATGTTCCCTTTATTGTCAACCGAGGGTGAACGATACTCAAGCTTGACAACTCTTCGTCTGTCTCTGTAAGGTAGGAGATAATGAATTTCATCAATGATATCGACGATGGAGGTGAGAACGGTGAGCTTAAACGTCCTCCTGAGTGTAGAGCGGCCGGAGTAGGAGACACTTGCGATATACCAACAAATATTCATATCACACATTTGAGACATTTTGAGATTGTATAAAGTATAATACAAAAACACCTAAATTTATAGAAGACCTAGTTCATTATGGACCACTCATTGACTGTCATTCTTATTCCAGATATATATCTCCAGAATGACACCCTATTATCTGGTTCCGGAGATGCATCTGCGGAACTTTCCCTGAACCAGTAAGAAACAAAGCACATAATAGAACATTTCAGAGATGTATCTCCAGAACTTTTCCTGATACATTTTCAATATAGAATCATATGAGAGAGAGTTCACAAAGACCAAATATGCACCAAACATGAAACAAATGTGCATAAAGACCAAATATGAATAATAAGTGAATGTGTAAGACTTCATTTATATTGAGACACAATTATATACAATTATTTATCCGATTACACAAGAAATCAAAATGAATCAAAACACGTGTCGCCAACTAAATCTATAGTAGGTACCACCTTGGACATTTGTGCATTCGATTCCTTTTCTATGTTATTCAATCTATCGAATTCTTGCATCCTTTTCATAAAATGATCCGCCCATGTCTCGACATTTATGATTGAATGAGTCATCCACTCCAGTGATGTAAGTGGTATGAGGCATCCTGGTTTCAAGTAAACTTGAACAAAATGACTTGATTTTGAAAGCCATCCAATACACATGATGCAATCATTTGATTTTTGGGGTGGTGCGGTGCACAGTGAAAAAAAGGTTTCCGAAAACCCGTAGCGTGTCAGATCAATGCACACCCTATCATATTCACATATAATTAGGTGACATATATCCGGGAAGCTCATCCATTTTGACTTCGGTGCCTGACCTCTTAAGCAAGGAACAATTGACTGATAAACTGCATCAAAATTTTCTTTATTTATGTATGATTCTTTATGCGTTTTCAACTATTGGATAAGTTGATGATGGACAAGTGTATGACTCTCTTGTCCTTTACCAAGTAAATTTGAAATGGCTCAGTAACCGCAATTACCGTCTCCTTCAACATAGACAATTCAATCAATATATTTGTGCATAAAAACCAACATCTCGTCAATGAATAGAATCTTCAGTGGAAGTGGCGTCGAAGGTGGTTTGCTAATGAGAGCTTCTTTCAAAATACTTTTTTGAGATTTTGGAGTCGGTGAGTCGGAAAAAACTTTATCAACATGTTCAAAGTATGAAAGAGACAGTGTAATCGAGTTGTCATTCGGTGT